CCGGCTGCTGTAGGTCGAAACTCAGCCGGGAAAACTGAAGGGTGGTGTGTTAAAACTACTACTTTTTAAGTTTGTCGCGCATCATCTGTATTCCTGTGATGGGTGCTTTAGCGACCATGTTTCATGGACTGCACTGTCATATACAAAGGCATCATCCCGAAATATGGTGAGAAGCTACTGTGTACTAAATTGAGATTTTTTCGAAATTGTATTAGAAGTCCCCTTAAAGGCACATACCCTTTCCTTTGTCGTAAGACTACTGTTACTCAAAATGCCTTTTCCTTTGTGCACCCACATATAAACCCTTGAGAGGTTTGGATGTAGATAATTTTGCAGCTTTGCTCCATTCTTGCATCAGTTCTCTTTGATTCTCTTAAAACTATGAGGAGAGCACCAAGGTATTGAAGAGAATGCCAAGGTATCTAAACAAATGCTGATATTCCCAGCCTTTTCATTATACGGCACTTACTGTTCACTGATTGATTGCATAAGAAATAACAGTTTCTAAACCAAAGCCAATTAAAAAAAAAAAATCCTTCTGTATAAGAGTTTTGCAGATTTGTACTGTGGATGGATCTGAATTTCCTATCCGGCCTATTTCTAGGTAACCTCTAGGACAAACTCAAGTGTGAACATGCTTTTAGAGATCGCTGCTAGAAGCACAAAAGGAGGTGGATCTAGAGTGGGATTTTAGGTATTTTACCTGGTCTGTTTGGCCTGTTTTTATACAGGCTTCCTGCATGACTCCCCTTTGGTTAAAGGAGGAGCTATGGGTATTTCTGCCTGCCTTTGCTTGTTTTCCCCTTGTTTGGACTTGTTATCCTCAGACTGCCAGTAGGCGGCTAGATCAAGGTAAAACTCTTCTTTAAATCGTCTTTGTGTATACTTTAGTTAGAATATGATACTATTATAAGAGTTTAGCATCTTCCACTACAAGACATTTAGACTCTTATGCAGCAGATTCATTTTTTGCAAGCTGCAAATCTCAGATCTCTCAGCTCACACTAGAGCTGCCCCTAAACCCCCTGGCTGCAAGAATCCTGTGCGAAGTAGCAGCTGCAGAACCTAAATCTGCAACGGCTTGCTGTTCAGCAGAGTTTCAACTTGTATCAGCTCTGTTCCTCAGTCCAACAGTTAGCTTAGATCCTAGTAAGACAATCAATCGAACGTCTTTTCCACTTTGTTTTGCTGGAGGCTAAGAGCATACTCAGTCAGCCGCTGCGTTCAGATGAGTTACCAGTAACTTGATCACGCGTATGAAGCCTAAGGTAGCGTTTGACTGGTGTGCATTTCCAGCTTATTTTCATATATGAAAGTTTTTGTTATACGTGCGTGTACATGTTTTGAAACAGTTTGAGACTGTTGCAGTAGCTCCACCATATGGGTATTTTTGGAAAAAGCATTATGGATGTATCCGAACTGGAGTTCGAAGAAGGGAGTTTGATTGTGGACACACTGCTGTTATTCAGATCATCCAGAAAAGCAAAATAGCCTGAGGGAGAATTAAGACTTTAACCTGTAAAAAAAAAAAAATTCACTGCAATATTTAAAGAGTATTACTGACTCCATAAAAGCATGCAGTAATGAGTCAAATGCCAAGAGCTGCTATATATAGATATTTTTATACATACATGTAAAAAACATGCTAAGTTGTTAAATGGTATGATTAATCCTGGGGGTGATAGCTAGCTTTCATTTGGGGGCTGTGGCTTGTAAAATGTATTTTGTATCATTTGCAGGTAACTGTAATCAAGGATTTCTGCTACAGAAAAAGCTTACACAAAGGAAAGACTCCCTGGAAGAAGTCAAATGCTTCCTCTGGTTTGCAAGCAGAACTATCAACGTGTCAGTTGTGCTATCTAGCAGTGTTAAACCTCTTTGTAGGGTTATAAATGGTTTGAAGGAAACTCTGGAAGGCTTTCACGGTATAATTACAGGTCAATACAGAAGGGAACAAAACCCAGCTCTTTCCAACAGTGAAAATTTTCTGTCTTCATTTAAGCATCTAGTTTAAGCTTGTTTCTACGCAACTCAAAAGCCATCTAGTTGAATTATACTGGTTTGGACTCGTTGTGGTACTTTTCTTAGTTTAAACAAGCAATGCCATTACCATTCCCTGCTTTCATGCTAAAAGACTTTTAGGGTTCCAACCCATGCATGGAATCTCAGGTAATTCAGAGACGATTCAATTCTATGACAGAAAACAAATTTCACCAAATTTAGAGGAACCACAAGTTCTTCAAGCACGGTTTTGTAAAACTCTACAGTAATACCTCTTGGAGTGCTACTTCATATCCACAAATATGAAAAGAAACTAAGAAGCATGGCCAAAGAACTTTAGCAGGAACTTTATTCTATGAGGCACTTAAATTCAGTGTCATGTACAGTAAGCTCTAGTGAAAAACAAAACAAAAATACCACAAACAACTGGTAAAGAAAAAAACCTATAAAAGTACTTCCAGAGGAGAAATCACATTATAGTCCACAAGCGTGGTAAATTTTAGGCTTTTAGCATGGTTTCCACTCCCTGTTCACAGATGCAATACTTTAATTTCCAGTCCTCTCCTCCTGTGGATTTCTGAGGCAGAATCAGGGCACCAGGAAAGCAAACCAAAATCTTTGACAGAGGACCTAATGCAAAAGTTAACCAAGGTCTGACAACTGGAGATAAGCAATGGAAGATGAGTACAGAGAACAAACCCCAAATAATTCAGACATCAGGTGATTTCAGCTTGTCGTGGTTTAACCCCCAGGCAGCTAAACACCACACAGCCGTTTGTTCACCCCCCCAAGTGGGATGGGGGAGAGAATCGAAAAAAAGGTCAAACTTGTGGGCTGAGATAAAGACAATTTAATAGGACAGAAAAGGAAGGGAAAATAATAATAATGATAAAAGAACATACAAAACAAGTGATGAACATACAAAACAATTGCTCACCACCGGCTGACCGATGCCCAGCCAGTTCCTGAGCAGTGGCTGCGCCGTGCCCTCTCCCCCCCAGCCAACTCCCCTGGGTTTTTTTTTGTTCAGCATGACATCACATGGTATGGAATATCCCTTTCGCCAGTTTGGGTCAGCTGTCAGGGCAGTATGAGAAGCTGAAAAGTCCTTGACTTAGTGTAAGCACTGCTCAGCAACAACTAAAACATCAGTGTGTTATCAACATCATTCTCATCCTAAATCCAAAACACAGCACTATACCAGCTACTAGGAAGCAAATTAACTCTATCCCAGCCGAAACCATGACAATATTACACAACACAAATGTTTTATTTGGAAAATAAACATTTGATTCATTTTTAAAATAACATAGCAACTACATTCCACCATTTTCTCAAATCAGAAGTATATCCTTAGGTTGCAAACTGTTCATTTTAGTGGTCAAGCCTTAAAAGGATCAACATATGTGATCTGAAAAGTGCTGCACAAATAACGTTGATATAGAATCAGGTAGAAATATGTATTGCAGATGTATACCCTTGCTAAGGGTTTTGGGTTTTTTGTTTGGTTTTGTTTTTTTAAAAACAAGCCCATGGGACAGCATACATCCGAAAGAACTGAAGGCAACTGTACCAAAAGCATGAAAGTACAGGCTGTTTAAGATGCCATATTAACACACACAAAACGCTCTTTCCTGTTGGATCTATCAGATGCATTGACTGGTAGTAAACCTAAAATTTGACCTATATTAAAAATAATCTGAGAATTCAATACACCTCTTCTGTGCCTCGAATTGCCCCATTATGGAGTTTTCTTAAAAACTTTAAAATGGCACCAGTGTTTTACGATAGCATACCCTGAGCGGACATACACCAAAGGAAACTTATTTCAGTTTCCAAGCTTCTGGCGTAAAGGGGAAGAGAAGGAAGACTCGTTCCTTTTTCTACATTAGGAAGAATATCATAGCGACTTTCAAACCAGTATGTTCCCGTCAAGTGTTTAATATATTACTGTCTGAAAAGCGTAAAGCTTTGTAACCAAACACTTGCTTCATTCCAGCTGAGTCTTTGACTTTCTTCTACACCGTGACATCTCAGTATCTTCTTTCAGAGATCTGTCTTATCCTCATAACGACACATACATGCAGCTCGCTGGCTATCCAGGTATGGTTTACATCCTAAATGTATAACCGCATCAAACAACAGCTGAACAGTTGATTCACAAGCTGCAAGCAAAGAGGAATTCAGTTAAAATTACTCTTTGAATGGAAGATGAAACTAACAGAAATTCCTCTGGCAAACTGAGAATGATTTTAAGAAAGAAGCAGTCTTCTCTGGGCACAGCAAATAGATTGTCAAATGAGAGACCGAACAAATACAGAATCATCTAAGTTGCGACTAAAGACTTTTCATATGCCAACCAAAAGGAACAAGAAAATTCATTGCACGTGCAATGTTACCAGTGTTAGAAACATCACTTAAGTCTTGGAAAGATGAAAGAGCTGTTCTACCCCCTCACTGTTTGCATCCCAATTTATGTAGAGGTTGCTGTCTTTAACAGCAGCTCAACAGAACTGAGCAAATACTCACCAGTTCTAACGCTAAACACTAACATGATGACTTCTTTGCAACTAAATGAATTTGAGAAGTTCAAACGGGCTTGGTCTAAAAACTGTCTGCTCTCAGTGGGACTACAGACTGTAAAAGTGACATTGTCTAAGTTGAAAAGTGTGGTTATGTCATGTATTGATCACGTGCAGGCCAACAACCAGGAGTATTGTATGTGCTGTTACTGAAAACCCTAAAATTTATTCACTAAGGGATAGCATTAACTAATTCCACTATAACAACGTATTATTCTAATATCTTACTTCATAAAAGGAAACAATTCAGTATTTTCCTACAGTTTACTAGCAATCGCACGTAGTAGACATTTAGAACTCACTGAGCAGAGCAGTGAATATCCAGCTATACTACAGTAAATGCAAGAATTATACATGCATTTTGATCAAGTTGTCTTCCCATATTCATACTCCTAAACGGGAAGCATTATTTTTTCCCCTCAATGTTAGTTTTAACCCTGATCATTTTCTTATGCTGTGTCATTGCTCTGCTGTACTGGGCTGCACGACAGCAGGACAGAACAAGGCATCTTTCAGCAACAGCATCACCTTATGAAAATGTGGCATTACTGCACGGCACAAAGATTCTTTGCCCAATAAGCTCGGTTAGACTCAAAGAAAAGAAAGGCTTTTTCACACTTACCCTGGACACTCTCTGAGATTCCAAGTGTTTTCTGCACATCTCTGCAAATTTTGGAGAGGCAGGACTGAAACTGCTCATCACAATCATTTTTTTTATTGCCACAAGTATCGTAGCATCTGTCGTGGTGATTGCAGCACTTTGTCATCGAAGGGATACCGATGTCAAACTGTGAAGAAATAAAGCCCCCCACACTCCATTGGTATTCCAGTTAAGAAATATATAGCCTACGAATAGACTATAACAGTTAGAAATTAAAAAATAATGCAATCTATCCAGCTGTCATTCACTTATCTCTGTATTTTGCTGTTCACCTCTAGTAAGCTGTGGTGGTTGGACCCCAGCCAGCAGCCAAGCACCCACAGAGCTGCTTGCTCACCCCACTCTGCAGAATGGAGGAGAAAATAGGAAGAGCAACAGCAAGAAAACTTGTGGGTTGAGATAAAGGCAGTTTAACAGGTGAATGAAAGAGGGAAAAAATGCCCCCAAATAAGCAGTGCAAAAGCAATCATTCCCCACGCCCCACAAGCAGATGCCCAGCCACCTCAGAAGCCACACGCACACCCCACCACCCCCTCCTCCCTGCTTCCACTACTCCAGTTTTCACTGCTGAGCATGACTCTGTAACACGGAATATCCCCCTGGCCAGTTCAGGCCAGCTGCCCCAGCTGTGCCCCCTCCCAACCTCCTGCCCAGCCCCAGCCTACGCTCTGGGGTGGCGGATGGGCAGAGCGGGGAAAAAGGAGAAAGTCCCAAAGCTGTGCAATCACTGTTCAGCAATAGCCAAAACCATCAACAGTTTTAGCCACAAATCCCAAACGATGCCATGCAGCCTGCTATGAAGAAAGTTAACTCCATCCCAGCCGGAGCCAGTACATAACCCGTATTTTCTTTCTAGCATTAAGGAAAATGGGTTTGTGTCAGTAAGGACAGCCAGAGTCAGAGCCAAACCCTCTGCTCTCACAGAGCTACAGTTGGGGCTATTCAATGTTTTCAAGATCGTGAGAACAAAACACTTATGGTTTAAAAATTAGAAATTAATCATCATCATTCTATTTTATCCCTATAAAATTTTATGTCAATGATGAAAATGTTTATGCTATGTTCGCTTATAATACTAACATTTTCCATGTGTTTTTACCAAAGCCTGTGCCGGAGCTGACAAAAGTAGGGATGTTGTACATGGATGCTGTCTCATCCTTAGCATGGGGGAGGGAAAAAACTGCCCACAGCGAGGAAAGTCGATGTATGAAAGGCACACAAAGAAGCCCCAAAATGGAAATATTTACCTGAACTCCAAATAAAGGTGATCCACAACCATTTGGTGGTGAAGGTTTATATCCGTAGCGAGGAAGGGGCTTTGATCCTGAAAAAGGTAATTTATCATGCCTCAAATAGATTTTTTGCACAGAATTTTAGTACTGTCAAAACTCACCAGAGGCATTTGTTGGGCTTAAGACAGTACCATTTATATTCTTAACTGAAACATATGTTCAGGCACCTGAATTCAACAATTATTACCAAATTACAACTTAGGGGTATTAAGTATTTTCTTAAAAAGGGGGGACGAGACACCTGAGCAAGTGTTAATGTTAGCTTCCCAAGTTAAAGAAAAAAAGAGCTTGAGTTACAAAAACTGATGTGTCAGTTCAGCGTGCAATATGTAGGATGACATTAAAGAACACAGTACTCCAGAGTAAGTTCATTAGTACTTCTGTGCTCTACACGCAAGCAACCGTAGTGCTCTGATTTTTTTTTAGCTTAACCTTTAAAATTAACTGGAATGAAACATCTTTTTTATTTCTACAACTGTAACATTAATAAAATTTAAATTATTGGGGATTGTTAAAGTCACGTCTCCCTGAACACCGACTAGTGCAGCAAGACAGGGAACTCTGCATCCCAAGCTAAGGAAGGCCGTGGAGCTAATTTGAAGAATGACCCTTCACCTCGTTTGGGTATTGGAAACAAACTGAGGCCACACGTAAAAGTAATGGAGAAGAGAAAACGTACGTGAAAAGCGGCCGTTCTAGCACAGAGGGGGACTGCCACGGTGCCCCGGCCGCCCCCGCGGGGCCACCCCGGGTGCCGCCACCACACTCGTTTCCAAACAGGCCAACGCAGCAAACCGGGGGGGAGGCGA